CCTGACGTCGACCCTCTCTGGTACCAGTCGCAGGCATCATCTGTGCTTGTCCTCTATCCTCTCCTGGATTAATCATATACTAGTCCATAGGATCCCGCGCACCTCTATTATGTATAGTGGAGGAAGAGCCATTTCCACTATCGCTCTCGAAATAAGCACCATGTTCGACCCTTTCATCAAATTGCTCTTGTTGTAAATGTTTAACTGTTGTACTCTTCTTCATGCAAGTAGTAATTTCCTCCTTCACCTTATCCGGCACATTCGCACAATGTGCTACATTCTTATCTGAGTCGGATAAGTGTTCCTTCGTGTGAGTAACTCCTCCCTTCACCACCTTATCACAAAAAATTGCATTTTAAAAAACATATATGTCTTATTGCCGCCTCCTACATCAACCTGCACACTTTATTTCCAAGAAGGGTCACGCCGCAATGACGTGTTTATATTTTCCTTGCCTCTAACCATGTTTCATTTAAAAATGGGGAAGAAAGCTTATTTCATTTAAAACTTAAGTGTGTGGGACTGGTTACTTGAGGCGTGCGCCTCACTATGAATTGCACAATTCAGTCACAGAGGCGTCGCCTCACCTGGACCCAAAAAAGCTTAGGCAATAAAGCTCTTTGGAGCAGAATCGCGCAGAGCGCAATTTTAAACTATGCTCCTTATAAGCCTCTTTATATCTTTCTCAATTATCAGAATTTCTATATCTAAACAAATTTTTATAACAAAGCTTCTTATTTTTTATCTTTTCATGTATATTTTGATTCCAACGCAAACTATTTTTACTATTAAAAGCTTTCTTTACTTTGATACTATAAATACATCCTTTGCAACATTCTTAATATCACTAGCTATTTTTTTCACACAAAATATTAACTTCCTCATGCACATTCAAAATCTTATGATCTAGAATGTTACTCTTAAAAATATTTTTGTTAATATTCTTCAAATTCCCTCATTTAATCCTAGAATAATATTTTATTTTATTTTTTATATTTTATCCTTCATCTTAAAGTCTAAAATAAATAATGTTAGATACATAAACTTTCATTCGGAATAACTTTATAATTTTTTGCAATCCACAAACAATCTATTTTTCTTATAAGAAAATAATCAATCTAAATTTTACTATATTTGTTCTTATAAGTGACGAGAAGCTCATCTCTTCTTTCTTAAATAAAGTATTAGCAATTAAAAAATCATAAACAATAGCAAAATCTAATATGAACTTACCACCTTCATTTGTCGCTCCAAATCCATAGCCAACATGAATACTTTTAAAATCTATCTCTCTACCAATATGTCCATTTAAATCACCTCCAATAAAAACTTTGTTCAAAACATATCCTTTGTATTAATTATTCTAAGTCATTCCAAAATTTTAATTTTGAACATATATCTAAACCTATTTGAGGAGCATAAATACTTATAATATTAATAATCTTAGCATCAACAATAATCTTTAAAGCTATAATTCTATCTTCAATTCTATTAATTATTACAACATTATCTTTCAAACTCTTATCTATAATCACACACACATTTCTAGTACGACACCTACCAGAATACCATAGTTTAAATCTTAAATTATCAATCTCCTTAGCCTTCTCTTCAACCCATTTAGTTTCTTGAATGCATAGAATATTTATCTTCCTACGAATTATAACATCTATTAATTCAATTAATTTACTTATAAGAGAACCTATATTCTAAGTTCATATCCGAATTTTAGTTTTACGGACTATGCTTCTTTGCCCACATCAGTCCATGGTGTGGGAACCCTTACCTATTTAATCTATATTCTTGTTGTATTCAGGCCATAGAGTGTGTATCTTCTAAGGAACATCTTAGCATTAAAATAATGTATTAAAGGATTCAGGTCATAATTATTTAACAAGTTTTATACTAGTTGTCGACTAGCTAACGCAACCCTCCACTTTTCTCATCTAGGGCTTGGGACCTAGCAATAGTAGTGTTCATTTTTTTATCGTTCTTTCAATAAAAAGATCTATGCTAGTATTCAATAAAAGACAATGTATGTGGGCTTGGTTGGCCATCCGATCCATGAAGACTAATTTCAAGTTGCTCCAAGACGTTTGTTGGCAATGTTTAGTATGTTATGAATTTACGCTTTTGTTGACTAGATCATCCAAGATACTCAATAAAAAGTGCAAACATTTCCCCATTATAGATGTACTTTTGGCAAAAAAATTCATCACAAGTATAGCATAAGCCTTTGTCATGTCACTTCACGGGCTCTATGAGTGCTAGCTTTTTTTTTGGCATTGCAGGTGTAAAACCCGCAAAATGCTATTTTAGGCTTCGTACGCTTTTTAAAGCGCCGCGACGAATTTTTAAGTAAGATTTTCAATGTTAACAGAATTTAACGAAAATAATTTTAGAAAATCCTACGCGAAATTCTGATCATTTTGATATAAATAACCATTACCTAAATTAGCCTATTTTAAGAGTTAAAATTAATCGAAGTTTCATAATGACGATTTTACCCCTAACCGTTTCATATGACAAATTTACTTAAGTGAGGGAATTAAGGTCATTTGGCTTCCCCTTTCTCCCTAAATAAGCAAACCGAAACCCTCTCCATTTCACGCGTGAACCGAGCGAAACGAAGAGAGGAGCGACGGGCTAGGCGCGGACGGCGGGTTCTGGGAGGGCTTTCCGGCGATGATCTTCCGGCGAAACTTTTAGGTCAAATCGAAGAGGACGACGAGAGAAACACTTAGGTACAATTATTTTAGAACGAAACTTCGTAAATCAAAAGTTATTTGAGATCGAAATTCTAGGGTTTTTCCTAAAAATTGTTTTTATCCCAAAACCTCTTTTAGAAACCTTTAAGAAATGTTTAGAGGATTATTTTAGTAATGAAAACGAAGAGATTTAATGGAATTTTTGGAGATTTAAATATTAGGGTTTTTGACGAAAACTTTAATTCCATCAAAATGTTTTTACAAAAATGATTCCTAAGGGTTTAGGAAATGTTTTTAAAGAAGAATTTTAAGTTTTTAGCAAAAATTTCATTTTCTTAATTTTCGTGATTATTTTAATCCGAAAATTAATTAGGTGATTATTAAATATTGTTTAGGATTAAATCTAGAATAAAGATTTGAGGGAATTTAAGAATTTAGGGTTTCCAAAATTTAGGCATTTTATTAATTCCGAAAATAGAAATAAATTATGTTAATTATTGGATATGATCAAGATGTATGCTTAGTTAGATTGTAAATGTCTTTTAGGTGTGGATCAAGGTGAAGGCAAGTGATTGACGACGTCGTACAACGTTGTGGTATTTATTCACTGCTTGCAAGGTAGGTGATTTGCATTTAAATTGAATTTATGAAATATTATTTAAATAATTCTGCACTTTTAAATTTGTTGCAAATTTATAGTCCTGATCTTCTTTATTATGACTGATAGTTCTTCAATCTTTGTTTAATTCATGTTACGTTATTTTAAACTGTTCAAATTAAGCAAAGGATAAGATATGCAAATTTTTCTTTTAACTGATAACTTAGAAAAAATCATATGAGACATTGATAAATTTTCAAACCCCCCTTTTATGAAAGTATTATATTAAAATGCATGTACATGTTGATCCGGAAGTGTCAAAAATGGTAAAGGTGGCTCGTAGAGCCAATGGTAAAGGAGGCTCGTAGAGCCTATGGTAAAGGAAATGGCCAAACAATTGACTGTGTACCTGATCAGTACAAAATCAGGCACTTCCGGGACGGGTGATTTATATTTTATGACTATGAAAATTATGTATTTAAGGAAATATGAAATATTTATGGAAAAGAAAGTAAAGAATGATATGTAATAAGGAAAAAGTCTAAGGAATGATTATTGAAATTGTTTTATACATTCAAGTATCAATGTTTACACTGTTCTTTTATTATTTTCATGCTTAATGACATGTTTAAGAAAGATAAAAGAAAATATTTTATAAATTTGAGATAAATATTTTTCACCTGCTAAGCGTTGTCTCATTCCTATTTTTGAAAATATTTTCAGGAGATAACTGATGGCTGCTCGACGACCTTATACGTATCGTCGTAGGGGACCTCTGGATGAAAGGTTTCATTTTATGTTTTAAGTTTGAGTCTTTAAGTTTGTTTCTGTAGTTTGTAAGTTTGAAGTTTATGAAATGTTGAGAGTTTATGAAATGTAATTAATGTTTAAAAAGTTTTTAAAAGTTGTGTGACAGAAGAACAATTTGATGTTTCTTAGTGGCTCTTTCTTTTAATGTTGGATGATATTTTGTAAATTGAGTTTAAATTTATAATGAATTTGATTATGTTTTATATGATCTTCCGTACGATCGTCTGTTCCCGCCCCGTTATTGACGGGCTAGCCGGGCCGGGTCGTGACAGCAGGATATCATGAGGGTGACGGTTTTAGTGGTGTTGGAAGTAAAGGTGGTTAATGGTTTGGCACTAGCAAGGCAATGGCGTTCATTTGTGTGTGTGTAATAGTTGACCATTATGGATCTTATCTCAATGAGTTTGGCAAGTTCAATTACTTGATATAAGGACATGAATTGGATGCAAAACTCCTTGCAAATATTTGTGTTTTACGCTAGACTCCAAGCAATTTTGTATAAAAAGTTCATCAATGCAAGTAATAAGGCTAATATTTTGCAACTATTGATACTTGTTGAAGTTTTGCAAGTTCACCTAAATATAGTTGTAACAAGGCTAATGATGATAATAAGAAAACGTTACTAATATGACCTCTTTTTTGTAACAGCTAAATGTACATGTGAGAATCCAAAACTTAATATTTAGAGATGAAGCTCTGGTATTCTTTTTCTAATATTTACATTACTCTTAGCAGTTCATATTTAGGATCCATCTAGTTTACAGAGTTGGGCTGGTGCTGAAAATGGATTAGCACTGCCCGGTCAACATATACAATTACAAATACATGAATAATCACAAGCATTGAAAGTTTAAAAAAAATAAAGGCATGGCTTCAAGACATACCAAATCAAGGTTATCATAGTTTTCATCCCAATATTCATCAGCTTTGCTCCCCAACCAATCCTCTAGTTTGGCATATGCTTCACAATCCGGAAAACCCTGTTTGTTATTGAGCACCCAAGTTTGGCCATTTCCATTTTGCTATATGTAAAAGAAAAAAATTATGGCAATTAAGAATTTCAATTTCCCAGGAAAATCAGGATAAAGTTATTATAAGTTGAAAAAATGCCTATTATCTACGAATACCATAATATCAGTAACATCTGCAACTCCTATGACTCCACGTCCCACATCTGCATTGTGCTTCATTCCTCCAACTCGCTTGTATGCCTGGAAAAGTTATGAACTTAGTGAATTCGGAAAAAATTGCGATGCTTATTCAAAGCAATATGCATAGATTCTAACCTAAGATAATATCTTCAATGAAAACGATAAAACCAAGAACAAATAAAATATAGATAATGATTCCTGAAAGAGAGAGCTCAATGATGAAAGAGTACAATTCATCATAACCTAGTCAAAAATATCTCCATCGTTATCCAAAGGCCTCTATAACAAAACATATTTTGAACATTCATTCATCCAACTGCCCACCATCCTTTGAAGAGAAGAACATATCATCTTAGCTGATGCATACTATTTCCCAATTGAATTTTAAGATCTTAAACTTTCCTTATATCGTTTTATTCCCAAAGTATCTTAATTTCTAGGCAGCTTGAAAGCATGATCACTTCTATTTTTTTAACTTCCCTATGATGCCTTTAAAATTTGAGTGCATAGCATCATTGTCTTCACCCAAATATCGTTGGGATAGAACTTATCTTGCACAGTTAATTACTTAAAAAGCTATCAGCATTTAAAATAAGTCTAAATATTTAAATTAGGGGTTCCATTAATAGAGATGCATAAAATTAAGTTTTAGAGAGAGAAGGATGCCCAGGTGGATAAGTGGCTTTACACTTAAGAGACCGAATTCGAAATGCATATATACATGAAAAGGTTGGAGTAATGCTAGTGGTTTAAAAGACTAGAAATAGTTGTCTTAGATGATTTGGTCACGTAAAATGTTTCCCCTCTGATGACCCTATTAGTAGAGTAGATATATTAAATTTAGGAAGAGAATAAACTAAAAAGACTTAGTTAGAAAGTATTAAAATTTACCTTTTTATTAAATTTAAATGAGAATATAACTATTAATAGAACACAATGGAGAGAAACGATTCATATAATTGACCCCATGTAGCAGGATAAAGGCTTGTTGTTGGTGGTGGTGCCAATTCGAATTCATGAGTAAAGTTCAATCAACTTGGTCACCAACAAACTCATTTATGTCCAAATTGAGCCCAACCTATCTGATAAATAAGCAACTAGAACAAACAAAAAATGCATTTACAATAAAAGTGTAACATGATGCAATCCTTGTATCCCATTCAAGACTAGATCATTGACTAGGCATAGTTCAGTGCTCATTTAATAGATCGATAATAATGCAGATGTGGATAGATTGGTTGATTCATGCCTAAGTTTAACTTGAACAAAAGCCATCAATAAATGTTGGATCTTAACAAGGGGTTTGATCAGAACCCATTTAGACCACAATAGGGGGTTTCACGAGAACACATTTAGCTGAGCTGATAACTTCATGTCACTAGTAGGTAAGTGCTGACCCCAATTTGAATCAGTGTTCACTGTCATCTATGTTATTTGAATTTCATCATTAATCCTTTTAATCCTCCTTCCAAGCTCATCATGGAGAGCATGTAGTAGTCTTGGCTAAAACTGTACAGATCCCTGAATATCAAGCCAGCAATTAAATCTAGTATTAGCAAAGCACAAGCTCAGCATGGTCTGATCCATATCATCCCATAATTCTACACTCTTCCACGTAGCAAAGCAAGAAGCCAAGAACCAAGTCAATTATCTATCAAATTACCAAAAGTCCTCATGCCCAAATTATAAAGTATAGATTGTATCAAAGCAATACCCAACAACAGCCAAAGCTATTCTTTGGATAAACTTAGTAATAACCATAGAACTTAGCATCAATTAATTAATAAAATAGACAAAATAGTGAACAAAGAATCCCTCGTAAGTTATAAATAAGGCTCAAACAAAAAGAATCAAATCTTCTTGTTATATTGTTACATTGTAACCTCCTATTAGAGGTCAAACACTAAATTTGATATTTTGGTCCGTCCTTCCTTCCCCAATCTCTCAAATTATTTTCAATTACCTACTCTGAACAAGTTCCTAGATACCAACATTTTGGTGCTTCTATTGAGTTGGAAGAGAAAGAAAAAGAGTTATTCAAAATGCGGAGGAACTCCTACATATGTGGATTATCTAGACCTATGATTGTCCATGCCGACAATCATTCCATCTTAAATGATTCAATAGTAAAGAAGTGAAATCTATGCTAAACAAGAAAATCTCACATGATTGATAATATCACAACTTATACATCTCTCGGCATACCTAGAAAAGCAAAGTTTGTCTCACAACGAGTAAAGATTTCAACTAAAGAAGAAGTCAATATTTTAGGAGGTTGACCTAGTTTACTAATTAAAAAGGAACACCCTCAAAAAAGATGAAGGTGGATTCCAATCAAATGCTACCATTAAACAAAGAACTATGATCATATTTAATCCTCAAACTTTATTCATGTTTGTACAAGAGATCTAGAACAAGCCCCTTCCCTTGAAGTTTAAAGTTACTCGTTTACATAAGTAAAATTTGAGGATATTGTCTTTCATACTTCTTAGAATTCATAGCTAGAAGCATTGGTTTGTTCAACAAAAATCTACTAACACAATCCTAAATCCCAAAACACAAAAGTCATGAAAGAGTTGTCAAGCATCCTCAACATGAGCTAGGAAAAAGGGTAGACTCATTGTTCTTACATCACCAAATTCACTTTCAGCATGCCTAAGGTACATGGCTGAATGGTGGAACTCACTTTCCTGTGAGAATCGAGAGAAAACATGTACTCGAGAATTCAAATAACAAATAGAAGAAAAGTATTATGTTGCAATTACTCTATGAGACAGAAAATAGAACTTTGGGAAGTGAGATAGAGATTTATAGTAGTGCAGTTCAGAGATCAACTTCCAATTGCAGAGCAATCAAGAGAAAATAACTATTATGTAAATACCTAAGTACAATAGTGTTGTAGAATCTTTAAAGAACTTTCCTGAGAACATCGAGAGGAGAAAAGAAAAAGAGGGATGAAATATAATTAGAAGAAGTTACATTCGACTCAAAAGTACAAAGTAGTTACATTAGTTGAGATGAAGAAAAGCTTCATGAGTCTTCTTGATGTGGGACTGGAAATATGCCTTAAACCTTCAGAAGGTTGCAAGTGAGTCAAGGGCAAGATTTTAAATGTTAAGAGTAGTTGAGTTTAGCTCCAGAGAGCGACTACTAAAGTAATAAACATGATGATTGACAATTTTCCTCTTAGCGAGCACTGAGCTAAGAGCAGCAACATCTACTCCCAAGTACATAAGTAGATCTTCACTAATTCCTAGGGAGATGAGGATGAGAGCAAAGGTGAGATATGCTTTGAGATCTTGGAAAGGCTTCTCGAAGTAGTCATTCCAAGTAAACTGGTTTGGCTTTCACCTTGAGAAGTGGTGCATGTTTCTCCCCCGAGCAATTCATGAAGTAGTTGAGACTAGCTAACACTCCCCCAAGCTTGCAAACTTCAAGAGCAGATCTCAGGGATGACATCTCAATGATGGCTTTGATCATGTCAGGGTTGACGCGGATTCCTTTGGCCTTGTAGGAGCACGCTCCAAGCAATTTGAGGCATTGAGATTTATCGTATATTTATGAAGAGAGCGAAATGTATCGATTAGATCGGCAAGGTGGTCCTCCTCTCCTAAACTCTTAAGAAGACAGCATCAACATAATATGCCATGATCTTGCGCCTTTATTATTGGAAGATTGTATATATCAATCAACAATTCAACAACATTCTTTAGCCCAAAGAGCATGACTTTGCTAAAAAAAAACCATTTGACGGTGACAATAGTCTTTTCTTTTGAATGACATTCAACCAAAGGACAGTTAAAAGGAGGTAGTGAATTTCTCGAGGCTTACTAGGAGGGGCATCAAAATAAGGCTTCTTTGGTCGCTTATAAGGACGGTGCCTCATGGTGCTTTTTCACTACAAAGTGTGATAAACATTTCCACTGATAGCATCAAGATTGTAAAAAATGGAAACTTTTTGTTAAAGATTCGAGAGGGTACATGCATTTGAGATTTCAGGAGAGAGAGAGAGAGAGAGAGAGAGAGAGAGAGAGTATTACATTATAGTTACTCTACGAAGAGATAGAGAAAGAAAATAAAACATTAGAAGGTCTAAAAAGAGATTTATAGTGTAGTCCAAAGACCTATGCCCTATTCGGAGTAATCGAGAGAAATTTCCACTATGTTGATATATAGCAAAAGTGTTCGAGTCTTCAAAAAGCTTTCCAAAGAGTGTTGAGTAGAGAAATATACGGATCAATACAATAAAGAAGCTATATCCAAGATGAAAGTACATAGTTACATCAAATAAAAGAAATAATAAGAAAAGATAAACATTCAAGTCTTTGTGTAGGCCCGAAAGATATCGAATCGTAAGCATCGCACGCATTTCGATGCACTGTGATGAAAATAGTCAAATTTTCAAAGTTGTCGGATTTTGACAAAATTAATTTTATAAAATTGTACATTAAATTTCGATCAAATTGATATAAAGGACTTATAGTAAATTTTGCACGGATTTGGAGTTAAAAATCGCCGAAGTTTATGAATGAAATGGTAAATTACTTAATAGTCATTCCTAGTTCTAAATATACTTAAGGCATGCAAGGGTAAATAGGACTTTTTCTCCTCTCCCTTAACCGTCCAAGCCTTAAGGGACCGAAATCCATTCGATCCCTTCACAATTTCACCCCATCCATTCGGCCGAAGAGAGGGAGGCGGACTCAAGGGGAAACGGGAGAGTCCTTGGACAACAACAGCGGTGGTTTTCCGGCGGTTCTTGGAGGGATCGAAGGGAGAACCTTGGGAAGGAATAAGGTGAGTTACTAATAGAAAATCTCCTTGTTTTCCCTTAGATTTCTTAAGATGAAAAATTTTAGAGTTTTATGAAAACTTCAAATTTCTTTAGGAGATTGTTAGGGAATGTTTGGGAAAGAATTTTAGCCATGAAATTTCAAGTTTCCTAAAAAAATTTTGAGTTTTGAAAATTAAGGTTTTTCTAAATTTGAAGTTCTTTGAATAGGTTTTCACAAAACTCATTTCTAATAACTTTAAGAATGTTGTAATGAGCTAAATTTTAG